TGAAATCAAAAGTGTTTCAAAATAATATAATGTTTCAAATTAATACAAAAATGTAGCAAAATAAAATAAACTTGTTTCATAAAGCTGTAATTTTGTTTCAAAATAATATTAAAAACAATTTTATTAACATTTTCCATTAGAGGTCTTCTCGATTAATCACTTTTGTCGATACTTGACCAAGAAAATGGCTAACACATCTTCTTACCTCACTTTTTTCGATATCTTCAAAGCATCTGGCCAGATTCGTTAACATTTGAAGTAAGTTTTCATTTGGTAATTTACCAACTCGATTTTTCCAAATACCGAAAAACATTTCTATTGGATTGCATTCTGGGGAATAGGGTGCAATAAACAACACCTTACACCCTCTAGCGTTTGCTGCAGATATAATATCCTCTCGATGTACAGAAGCATTGTCCATTACAAAGACTATGTTTCCAAGTAAAGCAACATAATTTTCAACAAGAAGTTTAAAGGATGCACTAAACATTTCACCATTGACTGTTTCGTTAAATACTCGACAAAATTTGTCACCTGATTCAGATATCGAGCTGACGCAACTCAAGTTAAACGTTTTCAATTTTGTCGTTCTGAAGTGTTTTTTTCCAAGTGAACCCCATTTTATTGTTCGGACATTACCAACCTTCCAATGAGACTCATCAACAAAGACAATAGCATAGCCACTTCTTTGAAGTTGTAACAACTCTGCTAATTTTTGTACTCGAAGCTCTTTGTTGTCAATTGTATTTGCTGTATTTCCTCGAATTGTTACTTCTGTAAAAGACAATGGGTCAAGTTCGATACTTTTCATTATTTCGTCGTTTTCTATATAGCGCATTAGCGATGATATTGACACTGTATTGAACTCTTCTTCTGCCAACTTCTTTTTGGCTTCTCTAAGTGACATGTTTTCTTGACAAAGCATAACAGCAGTCCTTTTAAGAAGTGCGTTGGTGTACTTTGGTTTTCTACCACGTTTCACTTCTGAAGATATATCAATTCCTTGTCTTAATTTGTTGAGATAGACACGAGTTGATGGTATGGTCATTCGAGTTTTGTGGCTGTACCATACCAAAGACATTCCTTCTCCATTTTCTTCGTAAAGATGAGTCAAAAGAATTCGTTGGTTTTTCGTAACCAACACGTATGGTCTTTTTGCGTTTTTATTTTTAATTAAATCATTAAAAATGTGATGCCCCTCTGTTATGTGTGTCATTTGGCGTGTTAGTGAATTCGTTTTCATTTCTTCTTCAGTGGGTTTTTCTTTAAGTTCTGGTATTTCTGGAGGTTTTGTTAAAGGTCCAATGAACGGCTGTTTTTGGAATACAAAATCGTCAATTTCTTCTATTGGTATATATCCAAAAGAATCCATTTTGTTTTTTCAAGTTAGCTAAGTTGTTTAAGTATTATTTTTAATATTATTTTGTAACAAAATTACAGCTTTATGAAACAAAATTATTTTGTTTTGAAACAGAGTTGAAAAATATGCATTTTTGATTTATTTTGAAACGTTTTCTATTTGTTTTGAAACAAAGTTAAAACAAAATGAAACTAACTGTAATATGAATTAATATACATTACTTTTTAATTTAAACCATTAATATTATTTTTTATTATTATTAAATAACAATATGTAATTATTAATATGAATTCCAAAAAAAAATTATGTTGTTCTGAAAATCATTTTTTAATCAATTAAATTGAATAATATGCAATTAACATGTTATTGTCCACAATTTGTTGTATTTTAATTTGTTATTCATCCTATTATGATCGAAATGTCAAAAACAGGTATAATACAATATTATTTATTGTTAGTAGAATGTTTAATGTTAATGTTTTAAAATACGATTAAACACTTAAAATACAAATGGATAAAAAACATTGAAGTCTTTTAAATTTCTTTTTCAAAAATTAATGAATTATAATGAAAAAATAGAATATATAGTACTGTCTACCAAGAAGGTGGTATTAGTAAAGTGGGGACAGTTTTTCTGTACGAGGTTGAATTATGTATTTTATAATTTATTATAATATTATTATTCATGACTATTAAAATGAGAGAAAGACACCAAGAATATGGAAGCGTTTTTTATCCACTTTGTGTAATAATAAAAGATATTGTATATTTCTTTATTATTTTTTGTTAAGTAAATTGTCTCATCGATAATTTTCTTCTTAGAATCCATTTTAATGAAAAAATATAACAAAAACATTAAATATAAAGAATTTTTGAATCTAATTAACCACAATGTTACTAATTCTTGTTTACTTCTTATCTATGACAAAGGCGACTTATTATGGCACAGAATCCAATAAGGAAGATGCCTCCATATATGCCTGTCTCCGAGCAAATGGGATGTCTGATTTTGTCATTTTGGATGTATTTACATATAACAACCAAATCAACAAAAACTTTTATAAATGTGCCGCCAACGCTTACGCAGCAGGCTACACCAAATCACAGTTCGATCTATTTTTTCATCTTGGCCCACTGATAGGCACTTTTGATGATTGTGTTAATCAGATGAATGACATCATCAATACTAACAACGTTGAGTTTAATATCACGTGGCTTGATATTGACGGAGTTGGGTGGTATAATCTTCCAGACATGAACGACGACTGCCTCAAACACGAGCTTGACTTGTTATTTAAATACTACCCTAAAGTCGGTGTCGCAGTAAACAAAGAGTTTTGGGAAAAAACTTTTACAAGCAATTTAACATACAGCAGATCAAATGATATTTTACTGTGGAATGTCGCATACTCTGTAAAACCATTCCAAAAGTTCGGATGGTGGACAGAACCTGACATGGTTTATAACACGGGTAATCATATATGTAGGTATTATCAGCACGTATACGCAAGAAATAGAATTCTTTAATTCTAATATAGTTTCTTCTTATTTATTTTACTTGGTTTAGTCCAAGTATTGTTGGTATTTGCAATTTTAAATAATTCAACTTTTGAATTATTAATGGTTAATAATTTTATACTTTAACGATTCAATAATCAAACCATAAAAAATAAAAATAAAAAACATAAAAAACTTTAAAGTGTAAAACATGCGTTTCCAAAATAATTATTATGGTAGTATAATGTACTAATTTATAAGAGAAAATAAGCATTTTGATTTTTTAAATGGTGACGTGGGTAATTAGGAGTGTGATTTTGCAAATTTCTGGTAGAAAATACAATTGCCCTTTTGGTTGATATTTTTATCATTCACTTTATTATAATTGTCTTATGTACACAAACAATGATGTGTTGTGTAATTTCACTATACAACTCAACAATTGAAACCATTTAATGTTTGTTTTTAAAATTGATATGGTGATTAAGCAAATAAAAAGAAAGCACAACTAACAGTTATAAAACAAATCATTTGGTTACTTATTTTATCAAGACAACACAATTCAATAATAAACTTAATTTTGCATTATGAGGCAGTAGATTGTAAAACAAATTTGAACTTTAGACCATTATTTGAATATAACAACATTTTAATTTATTGTTCAAAGCATCTTGTAGTTCATTCAACCTCAAATCAGTAGAACAATTGGTGTGAAGGAGTCAAATTAAAAAACAACAGAAAACAATTACACCCATATATTACACGCATAAAGTTTACAATTTCTGGATTTAATATCAAATAAAGGCGTTATGATAACTTAAATTAAATAGTAAAATGAATTTAAATATTAATAAAAATAGTAACCATTAATAAATAGGTGTTTATAATAAAATATAGTTCATCTTATCAAATCGTTATTTATCATTAACTTTTAAGAAAAAATGATTATAAAAAAACTTTAATAATTCAAAGAATAATGAAATAATATTTTTATAATGAATTCCAACCATTGAGTAATTACTCTTTAAAAATAATTTATAAATCTTGGTATTATTAATACTATCAAATACATGCAAAATATATTGAATGACATCATGTATTTGTGTTCCTCATCACTCCCAATTGTTTCTAATTTTGAAAAGTCACTTATTATCACTCCATTTGCAAGCTACTCAACACACCTTCCACACTCTCAAATTGCCACTGCCGAAAAACACTATTCTGACATTATTAAATCGCAACAAGCATTTGATGCTAGTGTGTTGCAATTGGAATCAATGCACGAGAACTTAATGAACCTCCTCTCATCATTTAAATCAACTTTGACTCGCATCTCAAACGACCGCGTAACTGACAAAACCACAGTTTCTAATTTTATTATTTCAATCCACAATAATACCATCGACACTAAACGAACTCCACTCGACGAACAAATTAAAAGTCTCGAGACGGAAAAAGAAGAGAAAATTGCAAAGTACTCTCTTCATAAAGATGAGAAAGAGGAATTCTCGTCATCTCAAGACGAAGATGACAAATTTCCTTTGATGGAAAAAACGTCCGTTGTGAACACGACTATGCAATGTTCCCAAACTTTGTGGGGTGCTGATATAAAACATCCAAACACAAAAAATGACGTTGCAGACATAATTAACCAATCTATTTATGTACCAAACGCGTATTTACCCAAATCTTTAGATTCAAAAGTAAAGGCAGTTAATGAATTGTTGTATGGTAATTCATTTGGAGCGAGTCAGTCTTTATCTTTAAAAATGGATAATGAAGAAGATGAAAACGAAGAAGATGAAGATGAGGAGGAAGAAAAATGAATATGATGACGAAGAAGAAAACCAACATAACTTGATTGAGTATGTTGGATAATATACTACGAAAATTGAAATAAATAAATAATTTATTAAACTCGAACATTTTTATTGAAATGAAATGATGATTATTATAACACATTTTAAGCGAATATTATTATTAAACAATATTATATGTTTAAAATAGAATGAATTAAAATATAAAATCATTGAAACTCACATTTGTTGTCATTTATTTTGATTGGTTTAAATAATTAAATTTTTAATAATAAAATACAGCTGTTCTGTTTTTGAATATTTAAATAAAAATATAATCGGTGGAACCGTTCATTATTATTAAAAAATGTAAATTGTGTTATAAATTTAAATGAAAATGGTAGAGTTTGTCAAATAGTAATAGTTTATGATAAAACTATTATATTGTTTATTAAGCTGTTGGATAATATTTATTTGTTCACATTGATAAACACTTATTCAGATAACTATGTTATTTTATAGATATATTGTAATTCAAAAATAAATAAAATCAAATTGTAATATATTTATGTTGTATTGTATTTATATAAATGTAATCTTGCTCGTTAGTAGTGCGTGTTTTAACACATTAAAACATTCAATGTTTACATCTGTAATTTTTAATCTGTTTATTTAAATAAAAATTTAAAGGTTATCATTTGAACATTTTATAATGAATTTTGTTGAAAGAAATATAAAACAAATAACATCTAAATGTAATTCCAATCAAAAAATAACAATACAAAATAGTTATTGTGTAATTAAATTTTGTATATATCCTCTGTTTGTAATAAATAATAATAAGTTGAAAAATAGAACCAGTATTTTAACGTAGATACACTTTTAAATAATGATTTATTTTATAATTATTTTATCAACAAAAAACTTATTTAAATTAAATTACAAAACAACAATTGAATGTCATTAATGAAAAAAACGACGATTTAAATTACTTTAATTATCAATTCTTTAAACTAAGATTTTAATATGATCGTGTATTATATACTTAATGTTTTAAACTGAATTCAATGTTTTATTATATATGATACAATAGAAAAAAATCTAGGACAATTTATAAATAAAATTTTTTAAATTAAAGTAACGATATATGTCAAAATGGTATTTATTTGACAACAAAACGACAAAATTGTTTTAAAATGAAAATTACACATTTATTTTTAAAACGACAATTTAGAAAAGTTTCTAACTGTTACAAATATTATTATTCCAATTAGTTTATTTATAACCAGCTTCCAGCAAAAAAAAAATTAAAAGTATTTAAGTTGTTTTTTTCAGAAAAATATTTATAATTGTTCCAAATGTTGAAGGCCTTGCTCTAAGTAAAGACTTCCTAATTATTTGGGATTTCTATGCGTCATTTCGAGATTACAAAATATAATTAAGAAACCGGTAAATAACGCAAGAATAATTTAGTCTTTATTTTCGTATAAGTACATTATTTGTTTTTAAAATTATTATTATGGGCTTATTAAATTAATTTATCATAAATTCAGTCCATAAAGGTTACTTATTTAGTAAATTTTTTTAATGTCTTTTTTGAATGAAACTGTTCACAACTTATCAAAAATAGTAAAAATAATATAATTGAATTATAATTATAATTAATTAATAAAATACAAAAAAATATAATTAATAACACAACCAATAACACAAATAAAGTTAATACAATTTAGTATTTATTCAATCATTTTCAAACATCTAAAAGTGTATAAATACAGTTGATTTGTAATGATTTCAAACAAAATAACAAGAATATATTGCTAACAAATTTTTAGGGAAAAAGTAGAAGTATTTTCGAAAATCAATGAATCAATAAATTGGATGTTTAAAAAACAATATTCTTATTTTCTTGACAAACGACACATTTTTTTTTATTTTTGGTGTATTTTTTCCAGTTACAGTTTTATGATTTATATTTGTATTTGATTATTTAATGTGGGTTCGCGAACGTGTTTTTGATATAACACCGTCGTTTTTTTATTTACATTCTGGTAACAATTGATACGTTTTATTTGTTGATGTAAAAAAGCATCATTTCTTTTGTTTTTAATGTGGACAAATGACAATCATATTTATTATTCATTATTTTTACATGTAATTTTTGAGTTGTAAAAAACATAGAAAAAACGATTAATTATAACCAAAGTTTGATTGATTTACTGTATTATTATTTTTGTTAAATTAGGGTCGGCCAAGATTTAGTTTTTAACCGATTTAAATAAACGAGACGCAAAAAACGCGTTTAAAAAAATATAATTGAAATTTTGGTTATTGTTTTTGTTTAGATAAAATGTGTAAAATTATTTTTAGATTTTTTTTAAATAAAATAACTAACAATTCTTTTGTAAACCCATTCTGCCACACAAATCAACGAAAAATTTAATTGTAATAAGTTTGTCTTGCTATTCCGATGTTGTCACAGTTATGATAAAGATTTTTCTACTCATTACTAGTGTCTGGGAAAAAAATTGGTCGATTATGTTTCAGACCTAAAGCTAAAATCGCATTAGAATAATTGTAAAAACCTAGTGTCTGATCTCTTGTCGTAATGTGAAAACTGCTGAAAGATGCCTCTTCATACAATAGCAAATTTATATGTAAATTATTTTTAGAATTTTTTTCTCATTTTTATATTTATAGAAAAAAAAACGCAATTTTTTGCGTCTCGTGCATTTTGCCAAAGAAAAAAAATACTATTGGCCGGTTAAACAACTCCGTGGCAATTCCTAATTCATGACAGTTTATTTTAAGTTTTAGCATATTGTCAAGAAAAAAAAATTAAATAGTTTTTTGAAGTAAAAATGTTTTTAAAAAATTGTTAAAACAATAGTTAATGATTTAAACAAATTTTTTTAGTTATGTTTTTGATGGCACATTTGAATCATTTATGTGTTTCTTAATTTAAATTAAAACCAATTAAAAACAATAACAAATAGCTTTTTTTATCAATTATATACAATAAACAGTCTTGGGAGTGGCGAATGTTTCTTAATCGTTTTTGGGTGTCCCAAAGGAAAAAGTTATGAAATGTATAATACCTTTTTGGATTTTTTTTAAATAGTTGGTTGGTAGTGTTTTTAAACCTTACGATGGTGTTTAAGAAATTTAAATATCACTTATTATTAATAATTGTTTTTTGGTATTTTATTTTTATTTTTTAATTTTCAATATAAAATAAACCAAAAAACTCAAAATTGTTAATAATGAACTATTAACAATTATTTGATTTATGACCAATTTATTTACGCAATCGATAAAAACAAAAACGGAAGGTAAAGAACACATCGGTTGACAGCAAAAACAACAACCACTTTTTTCTTGATTTAGATTGACCACGACAAAGTTTACACGTTCCTAACTTTTCAAGTTTTGTACATAGTGATTTTTTTCTTATTGTTTCAACTTTTGTTCGTTGTTCGATTGGAATAAGTTCCAACACGGTGTTCACTAGCAACGGAGTTTGTATTTAATCATATATTTCATTTTAATAGTGAAATATTCGTTGAATGCAGTGAAGATATCTTCATTGAAGTTTATTACAGGACGATGAAATATTTTTAAGAGGGGTCTACATTACACCCGGCTTTTATTTTTTCCCCAAGAGTAAGCATGTATATCGACACTTTTTTCTGTATTAAACACATCTTTGAAATTTCTTTCATGAAATATTATTATTATCGTGTTGCTTATATACACTGTGTGATATAACATGTCCCGTATTTGGTGATATTTGGTTAACAAATGATAAAACTTTAGTTGTTAATATAATTTGTTATTGTATTGTTGTTTTTTGTTTTACATGATTTTTGGAAACGATATTTGAATTACAAGGGCGCCACTCAGGTTTGTCAAAAAAATAAATGTTATTTATTTTGTTTTAATAACACCATCTTAAGGTTAAACAGAGAAATGGTTGTTATGTGAGATTACGAATTGTATTTTAAAAAGAATTTGTTTCCCAAACAAGTCAAAGTAAAAGTGTTTTCGCTTTTATTATTATCAGAATATATTTGAACAGTTTCTTATTGTGGATTTAAACAAGGTTATTAAAATGGAAATGAGTTCAAAAGTTAAATCAAATAATTATTGTCTTTACTATTTGTGCCAGTGAGTATGATATACACAACAATTGATGAATTAAAAGAAATATATAAAGATGACACCGACATTTCTGTTGTTTATAAACACTTTGAAAAAATAATACATAAACGGCGTTTTTATAGTTGGCAATTAGTGTTTATTTGGCAGTGAAGAACGCACAAACAATAATGATTATTATTTCACAGTTCTTTTTAAATAGGTTAGTATTAACAAAAACAACTAATATACACAAATTTGTTGACTATTTGGAGGAATATATAAAACATGTTTACATTCGTTATTTATCATTGAAGAAAAATTTGCAATTAACAAGGAAAACGTGTTGTTGTAATAAAAAACATAACAATAAAACAACTGACAACTGAATTGACGAATGGAATGGATCGACTTGAGTTTCTTGTAAAAGTATCTGTTATCATCGATGCGTCAAAATGTATACAATTCTCGATTGTGATATTGATACTTTTATTGAAGAAACACTAAGAAAAAACGACCTTGTAGAGAGGCTCAAAGCTGAAGCAAACATGGATAATAAAGCCAAACACAATTTGGAAAAAGTTGTTGAAATACATTATGAAGAAAAAAGAGCAGTAAAATATGGTATAAACGAAAATGAATGTAAACTGTTTTTCAAAACTCTGTACTGGGATGCCCCGATTTTTTAGACAAATAATTTCCAAATAATTTTTCCTTTGCTTAACCCTCATTTTTTGTTATAAATATTTACTCGAAAAAAACAAAATAACGAACATGACTTTTTTAAATTTTACTTGACAAATAAATCTTGCACCAAAAATTTACTTGAAAAATATAAAAAACAAACTTGGGATCAAAATTTTGATTCCCATAACCTAAATTTTGCCAAAAACATAAAACACAACTTTATAATTAAATGTCTATGTTTACAGAATCACCAAGTCGTGTTCTGGATAAAAATAAAAAGTATAAACGAGTAAAACAAGCATTGAGAGAAGATAAATTGGTTAAGGCTATACAATTGAAAAGTTTTTTAATTTTTGAACTGTTTATTTCATTTTAGACTCTTTTGATTAATAACCTTGATTGTTTAAATGTTTGTTTTATGTTATCGATAACTTTTTTAATTGTTGAAATAAATAGAAACTTATTGTTAATTAAAGTGTTGTATCATTTGATGCAATAATGTCCTTCATCACATCATTAGTTTATCGTTATATTACGTTTATCTTATGTTTATCTGAAAGATGGAATATTTCTTACGTTTAGTGATAAAATGGATCACTACCAAATAACGAACCTGGAAAATCGGGAAAGATTTACCCAATATTTGGGTGATTTCCCGATTTTTTGTTCAATAATTGAAACTGTATTGGTTTTTAAGGGTTTTAAACTGTGTACCGTTGTTGGTTCAACAAAAAGGAAAATAAAAAATAAAACAAATAAAAAATAGTAAATAATGGGAAATTAGGACAAAGGGTTTATATAAATTTTGGAAACGGTACAGAGTTTTGGAAAACAGTTTACTTTAACAACTGAAAAAAACAAAACCTATCCAAAAGAAAACAAGAAAAGGAACCAGACCATTAAAAAACAAAATAATAAAAAAACTTTAAAAAGCTAAAAATAACACAAATTTAATTTTATATTCGTTTTGTTTTTAATTAAAACTTTGAATTGTTATTGAACTTTTAATTGAATATTGTGGCCAGTTTCCCCAAATTCATATTTTTTAATAATTGGCTCTTAAGGAAATAGTATTGTATTAACAAAATATTCTATTTCAAATACTTTTATTTGAAATTTAGTATTTTAAACACGTTCAATAAATAACATCCAGATTGATTATAATTAATTTGAGTGTAATATAAAGCTTAACAATAACAAATCATTGTGTTTTAATACATTTTAATGTGAATAAACTTTAGTATTATTTAATTATAATTTTTATATACAAATTATTTTGAAACAAAACAAGAATTATTTGTTATAAATTTAACCTCTCCAGTTTTTCAACAACATCATCGATTGATGGCCGTATTTTAAGATTACTATCCCAACACTGTGATATCAAAATATATTCGTCTTGTGTTATTGACTCTTTCTTTGGAAGTCGTTTTCCAGAAATAACAAATTCGGCAATTTTCCAAGGGAATTTAAATTCCAATTTATTGTAAGGTTCTTCCCACCCAAACACTTCGAACATGGTGACTCCAAACGAATAAATATCTGATGACATTTTGTACTTCTCTTTTTTCAACACTTCACGCGCCATATACACTGGAGTACCAATTCCTTTTGTGAATGTCATATTAGTCATCAATAAATTGACATTTCTTGATGAACCAAAATCAGTCAACTTAGCATTTATTTTTCATTAATATCAAGTGAAACACGAGACGTTGTCTGGTTTGATGTCTCTGTGGAGTATCCATTGTGTGTAATATTGATCTCTGAGCATAGTATATTTACTC